ATTTTCCCCAGAAACATATGTTAATTTGTTTTATATTTGGGGAATGTTAATCTGAGTATTTCAGTGTTGTACCAAATCACATCTCCACAAATTCATTGTTATGTTAGCCACATATGATTTTTAATATTTTTCTCTGTCCTTTTGGCCCTATACATTTAACACATCTCATACTCTGCTTTGCCTGAGATAAATAAAGTTCTGATCCCCAAAACTAAACATTTATGTCCTAAAGAGGCAAATTTGGATGCCAAGATTCTGATGAAATTATTGTTACATCCACACCTGTGTCTACCAGACTTTCCACACCTGTGTCTACCAGACTTTCAGTGACTACATTATTTATTCATATTTTTAATTTTTTTCATTTATAGACGTTTGCCAAAATGCTCTCTTTATAGTTTATCCTGTATTTTTTGTTTTCTCTTTCTGTAGCTGTTCTGTTATCTAGAGCAGTATGGTTTCTTACTTAGGTTTTTAATTGCTCTGGAAATGCACTTCTTCTATGATGACAGGAACCGACTGAATCTGAATTGGTCTAGGGGCTGAATTTGGCATAAAGGCCTGCATGAGACCCCTCACAGAGTTTCTCAATGGTAGAGGATTACCTTGAATATTCCTTGTTGAAGTACATTCATTAGTATAATGCCCTCATTTGCACACCTTCCACATAATCCAGAAGGGAGGAGTATTCTTAGAAAAAAATATTGTTTCTAGGAAGGTATTGCCTACAATCCCTTTTACACTGACCTTGTTTCCTGCAATTATAGCACTTGACATTGTGATTTTTTTCCTCAAATCTCTGAAAATCACTTCTTAAATCTATCATTGGCACAGGAGTTCAGTTAGTTGTAACAGAGCCTCTCCCATTTGGCAATTTCTGTAATGTTAGTGGATATATTAAAGTTGATTATTTATAAACTTTAGATTGTTCCTCTCTATTCTTATAATGCAATACTAAAATTGGTTCTCCATTTAATTCCTATGTTTGGATTTGAATATCTCCATTTTATAAGGTTTTTCTAAGGCCTGTATCTTAGCACTAAAAGATTAGCCAACTTTTTTTTAGTGATAAAACAAAAATGATAATGCTGGTAATGTTTACAATTGACATTTTATAAATCCCAACTAAATTACATATACTCTCATTTAATTGTTTTCATTTCAAACTGTCTAGCATATTGTCATACAGAGGCCCAAAACTTTGTAATGGGTTTTCACATTTTTTGTAATGTGGGAAAAGCTCTATTTTAACTAATTCCTCATTTAAAAATTTTCAATTTTCTTACCAAATCTGACACTGATATTGATGAAGATGTAAGACTTATTGCTACTGTGCAGAACAGTAAATGCCTGACTGGATTTTACTGCAGTACTTAGTTTGGCAACAGCCCAAGAAGAGGGTTCAGGATGAGCCCGCCAGGAGAGGAAAAAGAAAAACCTATCAGGTAGGGCAGTGACTTCTGGGGGCATGTAGCTCTAGCCTATGTGGTGGATGTAAAGCCACAGGCAAACGGCTTTTTCATTAATTTGTGCCACAAATGTTGTTCACCAAATGTAGCATAAATAATAAAACCCAAGAGATAAATATTGGGATTCAACCTGAAGATCAGAAAAGCAAAGCAGCCAGTTACTGGCTCTTACCTCTACCTCAGACTGAAAATGGACAATCCTACCTCCATGAATCCTCAGATTAGGATTTAGCTCATGACCTGTCTCCTCCTGTTTTATATTCTTCTCTAGTACTGGGATTAAAGGCATGTATTACCATCACCTGGCCTCTATGGTTAACTAGTGTAGGTGCTGGAATTAAAGGTTTGTAAAACCACTGCTTGGCCTGTGTGGATGACTAGCATGGCTACTTTGCCCTGATCTTCAGACAAGATTCTTTTTTTTATTAAAACACAAATAATATATCATGATATGAATTCATGAGAGAATTCAATTTATTAAAGTTCTATGTTTGGTGGTATTAAAGTAATAAATCTGACTATTGACTATGTGGTAAGCAGACGAATCAGTGAAGTTTTAGTGAGGTCAAGTAACAGAGTCAATTCAATAGAACATGCATAACTTGAAGTACTCATTCAAGTATGTCATTATTTCTCTGATGGGTATCTACTCACCCAAACAGACTTTTCTTGAAGAAAAATCGAACTATTCAGAGGGATGATGGAAGATTCTGTCCTACCCAGTCCTGCAGACATTCAGCCCCCCCAAAACACACAGAGGTCTACATTTATTATAAACTGGCTGACCTAATAGCTCAAGCTTTCTCATTATCTAATTTTTACATCTTACATCAATCCATAATTCTTGTCTGTGTTAGTCATGTGGTTTGGTACCTTAGCTCAGTAAGGCATTCTCATCCTGCTTCCTCTGTGTCTGGGTGATGACTACAGACTAAGCCTTTCCTCTTCCCAGAAATCTCCTATTGTGGTCATCCCACCTCTACTTCCTGCCTGTCTACTGGCCAATCAGCTTTTCATTAAACCAATACAAGTGACAAATCTTTACAGGGTACAAGATCATTGTCCAACAGCAATTCAGAGGATACTTAAAATATTTATTCCAAGTATCTGACTATCTTAACAAAGAACTTTCAACATTATAGAAAGTTGTTTATTTTCTTTTGTGTGAAAAGTATGTGAAACTTTATTCATTCAGACTACCACTATAGAAATACTCTGAGTTATACCTTTTACTGTAAAGAAAGAGTGAAAAATTAGAATGTGTGTGGTGACAGGAAAATTAGACTATAGATGATTCTTTTGCATGTTAAATACATCTTACATCAGCCTTCTAACATTGTTTAGCTTTGTGATATATTCATGTATTCTCTATTGAGGTTTAGTTTACATATAATAAAAAGAATTTTAAATGCATAGATACATGATCTGATAAATGTATTAGCTGTCATTCAAAGAGGCTCATATGCTATATTAAGCAAAACAGTACTTATAATTGATAATGAGTAGCACAGATTTTAGTTGTCTTAGGTTTCTTATCAGGTTGATATAACCCTAGCTGCGGAGAGGCATCTCATCTCACTAATTGCCTTCACCAGATTAGCCTGGGAGCATGGCTATGGGACATTTTCCTTGATTGCTACTTGATGTAGGTGGGCCCAACACACTGTGGGTGGTATCATTCCTGGATATATTCGCCTGTGTTATATAAGATATGTAGCTGAGCAAGCCAGGGTAGGCAAATCACTAAGCAGTGTTCTTTTATGGTCTCCACTTCAGTTTCTGCACCCAGGTTACTGTCTTGAGTTCCTACAGTAAAACTAGAACAGAAAACTGGTGCTGATATCTTGATGGTGTTGCTCTGATGGACCAGACTGTGTTTCTTAGGAGGTTTTTGTAGCTCAGGGAAAGACAAAGCTGTTGAATGCTCAGAAGTTATGAAAGCATAGAAGACAAGATGTTCACTGAGATGTGGAGGTTGTAGACCTGGCTTGTGAAGTTTCAGAGAGAAGAAACAACTATTGGGACTGTTTGCCTGAAATTTTGGATTAAGAATCTGGGGAAGTAAGTGGGTGGTGGTGGTGCACGCCTTTAATCCCAGCACTTGGGAGGCAGAGGCAGGCGGATCTCTGTGAGCTCGAAGCCAGCCTGGGCTACAGGAGCTAGTTCCAGGACAGGTTCCAAAGCTACAGTGAAACCCTGTCTCGAAAAACAACAACAACAGCAAGACAAAACAAAACAAGAATCCGTGGAAATAAAATGTTTGCTTTACTGGGGGTTTAAGTCTGGGTCTCAGGTTGGTAGCTAAACTTGCTTATGGGTAGTGAGTCTCCTATATGGTACTGATTTTGAAGGCATAAAGGGATTATAGAGAATAGATTCCGCTTGTCACCATGTGGGAAGGTTGGAATCCCTGTAGAGAAGCCAGGGGGTCATTGACACAGGTGTAGCCTCGGTTGTAGTGGAGGCCCCACCCAGGCTTGAAACTGTTGAGAAGTTGTAGTTGGCACCTTGAAGGAGGGTTTGAGTCCACAGAGAGAGCCCAGGATGGGCAGCCTCTGTTGCAGCGAATATCTTAGCATATTGAGATGCCAAGAGTGTGGGGTGACCACCAAACACAGTGGAAGGTATGCAGTTGAACCAGCATAAATCTTCAAGACAAGCTGTGTACTGAGAGTAGCAGGGCAGGAGAGGTGGAGCAGCCCAAACTCTTTGGATCCCAGACTGTAAATCTCAGATGACAGACACTGAGCTGTATGCATTGGTTTCAGTCTGATTGTTCCTGTGCCCTGGTTGCTTTTGGTCAATGTTTTTTAATACTGCAACAGAAACCAAACTAGGACACTAGTGAAGATTAGAGTATGTTGCACTAGGTATGGATTTAAGGAATCTTACTAAAGGCAAGAGGAGGATGTTTAGGTAACTTATCCTGTGAAAAATTATTTTGGAAGCAATAGTTTGCTTTGGTAGCTCTGCTTGGATGTCTTATAGGTTCAGGATCTTGTCACTAGGGATGAAGGTAGTTAGTACTGTTCCCAGGATGTTCCTTCTCAGCACATTGATTTCTTTTGTCAGTGATGTCTTTGAGTGGCCCCTGCAGCTCAGTGTAGTGCGTGGCTTTCAAATGGTATCAGGCTGCCAGCTTTCTTTCCCAAGGACAACCACTGCTTTCATCACGGTTTGGAACAATCCCACCACTCTTTAAAGTTTCTCACAAGCACCCTTGACATTAATGTCCACTCCCACGACTGTCCCAGGCAACTGTTCTGAACTTGTGTTTTCTAAATTTTTGCATAAGTATGATCATTTAGACTTTTGTCACTGTTTTTTTGCATATTTCTGACATTCATTCATATTTACTCATTAATATGAATAATAATATTTTGATATATCTTGAAAAAGTATCTATACCATTTTACTTTGGCCAGAAATATATGAATCTCTCTTTAAAATATTTATCTAATGTTATTGAGTTCAAAGAAGTTCTTAAAAGTGTACTTATTCTTATATATATAATGTTCTTCATAATTTTAGGCCCTGGTTCTTATGATATTCCAAGTAACACTGTAATTGTCAAGGTTCAAAACACCTGCTTGAAGAAACCACAGAAAACTGCATTTGGTTCTTCTGTCCCTCGAACGTTGATCTCAGATCAGAAAGAAGTTTCCAGTGGTCCAGCACCTTGTGATTACCAGATGGTATGTTAATGGCAAAATGTTACTTTTGTGATTCATTTTTATTTATTTATTTAATGTTTTATTTAAAAGGTTTTTCATTTTAAATACCAACCACAATTCTCCCACCCTCCTTTCTTTTGCTCCCTCCTCACTTGCTCCCCACCCAGTCCCTCATCCACTTCTCAGAAAGGGTGAGGCCTCTCATGGGGAGTCAACAAAGTCTAGCATATGGAGTTAAGACAGCACCAAGCCCCTTCCCCTTGATTCGAGGCTGAGCAAGGTATTCCTCCATAGGGAATGGTCTCCAAAAAGCTAGCTCATATGCTGTGGACAAATCCTGGTCCCACTGCCAGTGGCCACACAGACTGCCCAAACCACAGAACTGTCACCCACATTCAGAAAGCCTAGTTTGGTCCTATACAGGTTCCCCAGCTGTCAGTCTAGAGTTAGTGAGCTCCCACTAGCTTGGGTCAGCCACCTTTGTAGGTTTCCCCATCATGATCTTGTTCCCTTGCTCATATAATCCCTCCTCTCTCTCTTCAACTGGACTCTCTGCCCTGGAGAGCTTAGCTGTGGATCTCTGCATCTGCTTCCATCAGTTACGGGATTAAGGTTCTATGCTGAAAATTAGGTTGGTCTTCAATCTGACTGATTACAGGGGAAGGCCAGTTCAGCCACCCTCTCCACTATTACTAGGTGTCTTAGCTGGGGTCATCTTTGTAGATTCCTGGGAATTTCCCTATCACCAGATTTCTCTCTAACACCATAATGGCTCCCTCTATCAAGATAATCTCTTTCCTTGCCTCCCTCTCCATCCCTCCTTCAACTCAACCATCCCATTTCCTCATGCTCTACTTCCTCTTCCCCTCCCCCCCTCTTTTCTTCCTCCCACTGTTTCAATTTGCTCAGGAGATCTTATCTATTTTCTTTTCCCAGTCTCTGTTAGGGTCTTCCTTGTTACCTAACTTCTCAGGGGTTGTTGATTGTAGCTTCGTTGTCCTTTTCTGTACATCTAATTATCCACTTATGTACGAGTACATACTGTGTTTGTCTTTCTGGGTCTGGTTTACCTTACTCAGGATAAGTTTTTCTAGTTCTATCCATTTGCATGCAAATTTAAAGATGAATTTTTTTAACCACTGAGTAATATTACATTGTGTAAATTATTCCACAGCTTCTTTATCCATTCTTTGAGTGAGGAGCATCTAGGTTGTTTCCAGGTTCTGGCTATTACTAACAATGCTGCTATGAACATAGTTGAGCAAATGTCCTTGTGGTGTGAGTGTGCATTCATTGAGTATGTGCCTGAGTGGTATTTCTGGGTCTTAAGGTAGAATAATTCCCAGTTTTCTGAGAAACTGCCTTACTGATTTCCAAAGTGGCTGTAGAAGTTTGCACTCCCACCAGCAGTGGAGGAGTGTTCTGCTTACTCCGCATCCTCTCTAGCATAAGCTGTCATCAGTCTTTTTGATCTTAGTCATTCTTACAGGTGTTAAGATGGTATTTTAGAGTCAGTTTGATTTCCATTCATCTGATTTATTCATTCATCTGATGGCTAAGGATGTTAAGCAATTCCTTTAATGTCATTCGGCCATTTGAATTTCTCCTATTGAGAATTCTGTTTAGATCTGTACCCCATTTTTAAACTGGATTATTTGATATTTTGATGTCTTGTTTTTTGAGTTCTTTATATATTTTGGAAATCAATCCTCTGTCAGATATGGGATTGGTGAAGATCTTTTTTCATTCTGTAGGCTGTTGTTTTATCTTATTCTGTCCTTTGCCTTACAGAAGCTTCTCAGTTTTAGGAGGTCCCATTTATTAATTGTTGCTCTCAGTGTCCATACTATGGGTGTTATATTTAGAAAGTGATTTTTTTGTGCCAATGCATTCAAGGCTACTTCTCAATTTCTCTTCTATCAGGTTCAGTGTAACTGGATTTATTTTGAGGTCTTTGATCTCATTGGGCTTGAGTTTTGTGCATGGCGATAGCTATGGATCTATTTGCAGTCTTTTACATGTTGACATCCAGTTACGCCAGCACGACTTGTTGAAGATGTTTTCTTTTTTCCATTGTATGAGTTTGGCTTCTTTGTCAAAAATCAGGTGTACATAGGTGTGTGGATTAGTATCAGGGTCTTCACTTTGATTCCACTGATCCACACACATGTGTTTTTATGCCAATACCATGCTATTTTTATTATTTGAGTCGTAATATTCCCTTATTCTCTGTTCAGTTTCTGTCTGGAAGAACTGTTCATTGGTTGTAGTGGGCTGTTGCAATTCTCCACTCTTTACTAAAACCCTTTACTCTGAGGTAATATCTGTCTTTGAAGTTGAGGTATGTTTCTTGTGTGCAACAGAAGGATAGATCTTGTTTTCATATCCATTCTGTTAGCCTGAATCTTTTTAGGCAAGTTGAGTACATTGATATTAAGGGGTATTAATGACCAGTGATTGTTAATTCCTGTTATTTTCTGATTTTGTTGTTGTTGGTGGTAGTGTGTTTGTGTCCCTTCTTTGGGATATTCTGGTGTTAGATTACCTATGGCCTGTGATTTTGTGGGTGTAGCTAGCTAACTTCCTTGGGCTGGCGTTTTCCTTCTAGTACTTACTCTAGGCTTGGATTTGTGGTTAGTTTGTTGCTTAAATGTGGTTTTATCATGGAATATTTTGTCTTTTCCATCTATGGTGATTGAAAACTTCACTGGTTATAGTCATCGGGGCTGGCATCCTTGGTCTCTTAGTGCTTGCAAATTGTCCAGAACCTTCTGGCTTTTCAGAGTCTTCACTGAGGTGTTGGGTGTAATTCTGATCCGTCTGCCTTTATTTGCTGCTTGGCAAGTTACTTTTGCAGCTCTTAATATTCTTTCTTCATTCTGTATGTTTAGTGTTTTGATTATTACGTGGCAAGGGGAATTATTTTTTTTTTTTGGTTCAGTCTATTTGGTTTTCTGTAAGCTTCTTGTAACTTCTTAGGTTTGTCCTTCTTTGGGTTGGGAAAGTTTTCCTGTATGATTTTTTGAATATATTTTCTGTGCCTTTGAGCTAGAGTTCTTATCCATCTGTCCTTATTATTCTTAGGTTTAGTCTTTTCATGGTGTCCCAGATTTCCAGGATGTTTTCTGTTAAGAATTTGTTGGATTTGACATTTTATTTGATCGATGAATCTATTTTCTCTATTGTATCTTGATGCCTGAAATTCTCCCTCCATCTCTTGTATTCTGTTGGTTTTGCTTGCATCTGTGGTTCCTGCTTGTTTACACAGATTTTCCATTTCCAGAATTCTTTTGGTTTGTGTTTTTTTTATTGTCTACATTTCAATTTTCAAGTCTTGAACTGTTTCATTCACCTGTGTGATTGTCCCCACCTCCCCCCGGCTTTCCTGGGTTTCTTTAAGGGATTTTCTGATTTCTTTCAATTTTTGTTTATCTTTTCTTCAATTTCTTTAATTTTAATTTTTTAAAATTTTTTTTCAAAGAGGAGTTTTTCATTTCCTCTTTACGGGCCTCTATCATCTTCATAAAGCTATTTTTAAGGTTTTCTTCTTTTGTTTCATCTGTGTTGGGAAGTTCAGGTCTTGCTGTTGTATAACCACTAGGTTCTGCTGGTGCCATATTTTTTTATGTTGTAAATGCATTTTCACGCTGCCTTCTACCCACCTGGGTTTGGTATAGGTGTTGATTCTTCCTCCAGTTGGTGCAGGTGTTGTCTGTACCTCAGGGGTCTGCTTTCCCTCCAGTCAGTGCAGGTGGAGCCTGTGCCTCCAGGCGACCTCTGATGCCACTGGGGCTGGTGGGGAAGGGGTCTCGCCACCGTCATCCCCAACCATATCAGAGGTACCTGGAGGCACAACCCTCACCTGCACTGATTGGAGCAAGAGCCTCAAGAGCCAGTCAGCAGGCAAGACTACTGTGACCAGACCTCTGATACACCTGGAGATGGTGGTAGAGGGGCCTGGCCACAGGTGATTTGCTTGCTGACTGGCTGCTGGGTTTTGGATGGGGTCCATTATTCTTTATATATAATATATTTATATATGATACTAAGCTGTTAGAACTCTCTAAACTTTCATGTTGGAATATAATTGCTAGGAAAGTGTGGTGAGCTATTCTTATTACTATGTTCCATATGTTTTGAAATGTTGAAGTCTGATCACATTAATCAGTAGATGAATGACAGCAACAAAATTAACTTACAAACTGAAGTCCTAGAGATTACAAATATCACATCTGAAAAACACCTGCGGTAAAGATATATATTCAGGAAAAGGTAATCAGGAAGGTGGGGTGCTTAGGTTCAGACTAAGAAATGGAGATGTTTAGTACATGTTTTTAAGGGTTATGTAGAGCTAAACAGACAGTTAGTTTAAAAATAGTAAGTTTTCAAATGGGAAGAAGGCGCTGTGTGGGTAAGGCCAGCTGTGCGGGCAGGAGATGAGAATGGGAGCTTGAGATTGTGATTCAGTGGGGTATTAGGTGAGCTTTGGATTAGGACAGCTTTATGGAATATAACATACTTTTATAATGTATAAAATATGATATATAATTATTTAATATCCATAGATTATATATAAGTATGTACATATAATTATAGATAATATAATCTATAATTTTTTATTAGTGTATATTCACTATAATTGGTGCTGAGTTACATGAGGGCATTTTAAAGATTATGTGCATGTGTGTTCACATGCCATGGCATGTCTGTGTGGGCCACAGTGTTACTTTCAGGAGTCAGCTTCCTACCTTCTCCATGTAGGTTCTGGAAATGAACTTGAGTTTCAGCCTTGGGAGTCAGTGCCTTTCCCCATGTAACCATTTCTTTGGTCACAAAATGACATTCTAGCACATGTATTTAATGTTAGAATATGGTTCTAAGATGAGACAACAGCACTAACAGTGCAAACAGACTTGAATATAATATGCTTAAGGATTTCAAGACTCAGTGATACCATTCCTGGGCATATACCCAAAAGATGCTCTATCATACCACGAAGACACTTGCTCAACAATGTTTAT